GCTCCCCAACAAAGTGACCTTCATCCCACGCATGGGCCATGGCAGCTACTCCATTTCAGAACTCATTGGCGGAACACGTACAACACCTCTACTGCCCATTCCTTCGCCACTTTTGCTTTAACCTTAACTAGACCGCGGTAGTCTTTGCGTACCATTCAAGTGATAAAATGAAAATGTTTCTTCCTTTTCCTTTAGTTACATGTATGAGAACTCAATGAATGTTTAGTATTGTAGTATAAACATACTAAAATACTAACAGTTCCAAGTTGGAATTTCCATTTTTTGAAATACGTAGCACAGATAACTAGTAATTTCTAAAACATCAGTTAGATTTTATCCATACTTCATTTATGACAGAAATCGTTGCCTTTTGTCCAATCGAAAGGCATGCAAGGTGCTTCCGATCGTCGCAGGCTCTCTCTGAATAGCACTTGAAGTATGGGCTTCCCAGCTCTCCAGTGTTTTGGGCAAATATAACGTACTACAGCTCAAAAAGTAAGCCCGTGCAAAAAATCAGTCTATCACTGGGTCTCCCGAGGCCCATTTCTGGAAAAAAAAATTTTTTTGGCTCATTTATGGCAAGAACCCATCCTCAATTTTCATTACTTTGAAATCCCTATGACACATTACTTTAGTTACCAATATAGTCACGAAGCCCTTTCTATGAAATTTTGAGTACAGTATACTCAGATTTCTGCTCCCCCTCAAAGATTAAGCCAGGACAGCGAAAACAAACAGTACTCGATGATTATCTTTTTCGTACTACGAGTGTACGAAAAACATAATCATCGAGTACTGTTTTTTACGAGTGCAGCACAACTGGACCGGACGTTCGGTTCGCCCGCTTGCAAAGAAGCACACATAGTGATGCGTTGTATTTTACATGGACCTTCGACATCACTCGACGCGAGATGTGAGAGCTCAGTTTGGCCAGTAATTCGTCTTGTTCAGGTTCATTCTCCAATTTGCGCATCGAGCCTCATATCTTCGCTGTTTACGACCTATTATGCGGCTGAGTACCATCCTGCTGGCCATTACAGTCGCTGCTCTCGCTAGCGTCAGTGGTGCGTCGACGACCGACCTCTCTAAGACCGCTTCCATCAAGCTTGAACACTCGTCTGTTGCCGCTCAGGCCAATATCAATGTCCACCGACGTTTGAGAAAGCATGATAGCCAGCTCGATCGACGTGCAGACAGAGAAGAGAGAGCAAACATTGGGACCTGGCTGTCGGAGAATATGGCCAAACTTAAGGCCTTTTTAAGCAAGGTTGACGAGATGGACGTCAAGGCAGCGCAGATGATCAAGGGCAAAACCGTAGAGGAATCGGAAGAAGTCCTCACCAAACTTTGGGACGATGTATTGCCCCTGTTGCAAGGGATGGAGAAGCAGGGAATCACTCCTCAAAATCTAGCAAAGCACTCCACGTTCAAGAAGCTATTTAACGAGGAAGCTACCCACCTGAAGCAATATTTCGATTTGTATTGGAAGACTTTCAAGGACAACAACGTCTGAAAGGCTCGTCCAAACTCCTGAAAGGAGGACGCGTGAGGCGATGAATGAGAAAGAGGCGTAGCTAGACATACCTGTAGAGCAGGTGCTATCTTGTAACTTGCCCTATGTTTTCATCTTATAATTGATTTTACGATTTCGGTCATGGTTTGGTTGTGAACATGAAATGTGCACTGTGCAGCACTTGTTCTTACTGGTTGCCTTAATCCTGGGGTCTAATTCAAGCTGGGCTTTTTTTTTAAAGGTAAACCTTCCTACCCAGTGTAGAACAGACTGAGACCAGACAGTTGGGCAGGTGTTGAGAACATGCTGGTAGTGGGTAATACAATTTTATCAAGAAATATTTTAGCCGTTGTACACAAATTAAAGCTAGTGAATGTGCCTTCGTCACTCAACCACCGCATGACCAAATTTTGCGTGATTAGGCCGAGTCTAATTCCACCGCTAATAATACGCGTCCAAGACAGATGGCTCAGCAATACTGGGTTCCACCAGCTTCTGTAACATACTTTTTTTTTCATTTACTTGGTGGGGGTAAGGGTGATTGCCCTTAAGACAAGCCTCGCTATTTGTATCCTAGCTTTCAACTGCCCTTTGAATCGGAAGCTCCGACCGGCTCGTTCCAACGTAGTATATTTTGAAAATGAGTTTGATTTCTTGTATCGTTGCCTAGGAACCTGTGGGTCTACGCAACCGATCCCAATATCCTACAGCGCGTTTGGTCGCCATTGGTGCTCAATGCTATGATCAAGGGACT